ACCCGTCCTCGACAGCCCCCAGCCCATCGGGCAATCCCCTCCCTGGGTGTTGGCTCCCCCAGGAAAGCCTCCCCTGGAGGAGGGGACCCCACTCACCAGCTTGTTCTCTATCAGGTCGCACACCACCTTGTTGTTGAAGTACTGGATCTGGGTCCACTTGATCCCCTCCTGCACGTATTCCTCCTGGGGAAGCGCAGGGAGAGCCGGGTGGGCCCCCGAGCCGTGGGATGTGCTGCAGCCCCCCTGCTCCGGCTGTGGTGCTGGGACTGGCCGGCAGCGGAGGTGCAGGGTGCAGGAATCAGGGTGCTGGCACAGCCCTGCAGCCCCCCCCAGCCCAGCCCCCATGTACCTGCTCTGCCTTCAGGGTCAGCTCTATGAAGATCTGCTGCAGCTTCTCGTTCACAAAGTTAATGCAGAATTGCTCAAAGCCATTTTTCTGCAGAAGGACAAAAGATGAAAGAGAAGATGGGGCTGAGCGGCCTTTTGCTCCTCTCACCACATTGGGGGGGACCCCAAACAGCAGAGCTTTTGGGTGCTGCTCCAGGGACCCTTCTTGGGGCTGTCAACTGCTAACAGCCCCTGGCTGCATCTGCTCTCCTTGCTGCAGGAGCAGGGAAGGACATTCCCCAGCGGGGTTCCTACAGCAAAGCAACACATACCTGGAAGATTTCAAAGCCATAGATGTCCAGCACCCCGATGCTGTACTCCTCATGCGGTTTCCGCATAGCCCGGTTGATCGACTGCGGGGAGAGACGGGATGCGCCACCGTCATCGAGGGTGCGGGGCAACGGGACCGGCTGCGCGCGGGAGCAGACAGCGAGCAATCCCCTCCACGCCACGGCCACGCTTGGGACCCCCAACCCATCGGGACCACGCACCTCCACCAGAAAGTCGAAGACGCGCGAGTAGAGCCCCTTGGCCAGGGCATCCCGGGTGTAAGCTGCCTGCTCCACGTTGAGGGTGACGGTGATGGATTCGGAGCGGCCACCCCACTTGCTGTCCATTTTCCTGCTGGTGACCTTCTCGTTGAGGCGGTCCTGGTTGATCCCCAGCAGGTAGGCAGGGAAGGCCAGGGCTGGGCAGAGGGGGGGGTGTCAGGGCTGCCTGCTCCCCGTACACCCCTGCGCGCTGCCCACACCCGCTGCTGGACCCCCCAGCCCCCTCCGAGCGCAAAGCACAGCAGCAGTCCAGCGACTGGGGACATGGGGCATGGTCCTCCCCCTGCTTAAATCACAGCAAGTGACTCCTGGAATCCATCCCCTTGCTAATTAAGCTCTGATTGTGCCATTTGCTCGCTGCCTCAGTTTCCCCATTTCTAACGCGGGGGGAGATGCTGATGCTGCCTCTTTCATCTGCCAGGGGATTTTGTGCTAACGGAGAGTTTGCAATTCATTGCCAAGGGGCTCTGCAAGCGTCCTCTCTTGCCCCCCTGAAGCGGGGGGTGTGTGGCAGGGGTTGGCTACTCACAGTCAGCATTTTCCACCCGAGCGTAGTTGCCTTCCTCCCGAAAGCTGATGTTTCCCAGGTGGAGGATCCCTGCCACGATCTGCAGCACCAGCTGCTGATCCTCGCCCCGGATGCCGATGACCTGCATGGCGTTCTGGGGGTGGTGGGGACCCTGTCAGCCCCTGCCCGGCCGCAGCCGCCTTCGGGGGCTCCCCCTCCCAGGGAACTCACCATGGTCTCATGGAAGTCGCTGCGGTCGTCCGTGCCCTCCACCTGGTACGTGTCCGACTGGTTCAGGTAGTAGTAATAATCCGGGCTCATGATGCCCAGGTTCTGCCGCTGCTCTTGGGATGCCCCTTCGATGAGCTGGGAGGGAAATGGGAGCTGTGGTGACCCGGCCCCTGGCTCCCACCACAGCCCGGCCGGCTCCGTGCCCTCCATGTACCTGATAGTAGATGTGGAAATTCCTCTCGCACTCGTTCTGGCTCACCACCCGGGACTTCTCCAGCAGAAAATTGGAGATCTTCCCCCCGTCGGGTTCACCGCCCCGGCTGAACTGGATCTCGAAGTACTTCCCCTGTCCCAGGACACATCCCGCTCAGAGCCACGTCCCTGGCCGTCGGGACTCCTCACTCCCCCCAGCCCTGGCTCCTCTCCCCCTTCTCCCACCACACTAGGAATGTCGCTGGGCCCAATCCTGGCTGCAGCGCTGACCCTCTGCACCTGCCCTGGTGACTTACGAAGCGGCTGGAGTTGTTGTTCCGGACAGTTTTGGCATTTCCGAAGGCTTCCAGCAGCGGGTTGGACTGCAGGATGATGTCCTTCACATGCTGGAGGCAGAGGAGGGAGGGTGCTGAGCTGGGAGGGGGTGTGCATGCCTGCACCCCACTACACCAGCCCTGCCTTGGGGCTGGGGACCGAGCCGGGGCGTTGCGTGTCCCCAGCTTTGGAGCCGGGGCTGCTCCGTGTGCCACCATCAAAGGGGGGGAGCATAGCCAATGATGTATTTTGCTGCCACCGTTTTCCCAGCCCCGCTTTCTCCGCTGTGCAAATGTCAAAGCAGAGGAGATGTGAAACGGCCCCAGCAGAGTCGCCCCTTCCTGGGGTGCTCCGGGGTGGGATGCCAGAGCGGGTCTGGAGGGTGATGGGGGGGGCCCGCTGCCCCCCCCCCTGCCGCGTGCTCTGACCGTGCGGCAGCGCTAGTGCGGGGGACGGGGCTGCCGGGGTGCTCTGGGGGTGCTCTGAGCTATAACGGGGGCCAGAGCAGGGCTGGGCAAGGAGCTGCTCCGGGAGGAGATGTTGGATTTCTTGTTGCTGGATTTTGGAGGGGAGGAGGGAGATCCTGGGAGCTGCAAGGGGAAGTCTCTGGCCTTGCCCCACATCCTGACCATCTCCCTTGCAACACTCAGCCAGAAAAAAACCGCGTTGCATAAGGCTCGGTCCCTGCCTGGGACAAACACGGTCGCAGACCCGGCTGGTGCTCATGGCCCAGGGGTCCCTCCAGGTGTCCCCTGGGTCCCCCAGGACCCACCACTGGGCTCCAGCCCCCTCTCGCCGCTGTGTTTAGCCGGGATGGGTGTGTATGGAGAAGGGGTGGGGGGTGGGGGCAGCTGGCCCTGGACCGGTGGCATGGGGTCCCCAGCTGCACCCCCCCGGCCCCCCTACCTGATGATGACGCACTGGTTCTCCCCGTCGATCAGCATGTTGCGGTACATGTTGTCCGTCAGGGCGTAGATATGGGGGGGGTTTTCGTACTGAGCCTGAACGGGGGACAAGGGCAGCAGCGCTGAGCACGGAGCCACCAGCCCCCCCGGCACCGACCCCCGTCCATCCCCAAAGGCCCTAACTCTGCCCACACGTGGCACAAGGCGCTGGCACATGGCAGGGATGGGGGATTGATCTCTGGCTGCCAACACGAGGTCAGCAGCAGTGTGTCAGACATTTTTTTTTCGACTCCCCCCTCCTCCTTGGGAAGTTTGCTACTCGCCCTGGCTGGATTTTACCATGTTTGGGTTTCTTTGGTGTGTATTTATGAGCTGAATTTCCCAGGAATGTGGATCTCGTTACTGACTCTCCATCAATCCCTTTGGGAGCACCGAACCCTCCAGCACCCAAAGGGCCAGGGAGGATGGGGACACTCATGGGACACCCCCCTCAGCCCAAATTTAACCCGATGAACCCCTGGCCAAGCCCGCCAGCTGGCACGCAGCATCCTCACCGCCCCCTGGTACAGCTCGATCTCCCGGTCGGTGAAGTACGGCATCTGCTTGAAGGGGTTGACAGAGATGAGCACCGGCCCGATGTAGGTCTGGGTGGCAGGTTAAGGTCCGTCAGTCCTTCCCCGTGCCCCCACCCCCTTCCTTGCCCCACTCACTGCACTGGGAGGTGGCGTCAGGGTGGGAAGGTGGCTGGGGGATCCCTGTCTCTTCCTGGAAGCTGCACCAGGAATACCATGAAGGTTTCCAGCTCGGGTGCAGACAGAGCCGCTACCACAACTTGGTGCTCTCCAGGCCACAGGTCCTCAGTGCTTTGCTCCCTCAGCCCCGGGGCGTCCCCCCCCCCGCCCCGGCGTGAACCAGCACAGGGTACAGCAGGAGCATCCCCTCAGCTCCCCGGCCTCTGGCTGAGGGATCGGCTCCAGAAGCGGCATTTCCAGCATCCCGCAGCCTCCCAGCATTCGCCTTCTGCTCAGCTGCTCACGCTCCATCCGTGGTTTTTGCAGCCGGAGACCATCTCCATTTTACAGCCAGGGAAACTGAGGCACAGAGAGGGGAGAAGCCAGGGAAACTGAGGCACAGAGAGGGGAAAAACGGTCAGCTCCTGCCTTTCTCCGGCCACCCAGCCGCTCCACCTCTCTCGGCTCCTGCCTGCAGCATTCCCGAGTCACCCAGGCGTGGGCAGGGGAATGGAAAAGTGGGGAACTGCACCTGGAAATGATGCAGCAGCAGAATGGGGATGAGCCCCTGGCACCCCAGGGGTGCAGGGGGGATGGAGGCTGGGGATGGAGCAGTGCCAACAGGGTTACCCCGAGCCCTCGATGCCCTATTTTCAGCCCACCTGGGGTGGGGAAGAGGAGGGAGAGGGGCTTTTCTGGGAAATGCAGAAGCGTGGGGCGTTGAGTCACGGCTACTCGGCAGCCCGGCACGCAGCAGCACA